CCCCCCGAACCCCCCCTGGCTACGGGCCTGTATATACAGGGTGCGAAATTAACGGGAGTCCGGAGTCAAATACTCCCTGATTTACTGTCGGACTCCCTGTGACATATGCAGGAGTCCGTGTGACTCCCTGAAAATTCTGCCATACTAACTAGTTCGTTCCGGAGCACGGCCTTGCAGAATTACTGTATTTGTTCAGCTAATGTCCAAAGAAAATTTGGCAGACGTGCAACTGCATGAATCTTAAAAATAAGCACATGCGTTATTGTTAATATCTTTAATTTTGAACCTCAGACTGCAGACTCCCTCATTTTGCTGCGGAGTCCCTCTTTTTGAGGGTAGGGAGTCCGTTGGACTCCCTTGTTCAAAAGTTAATTTCTACCCCTGTATATATATATATATATATATTCAGGGCGCGAAACTAGCACCGGCCCACCGGCTGGCAAATTATTTAGAGGGTCGGTAACATTGGCAAAACACTGGCCTTTCGAGCCGGTGGTTTTAGCCCGTGTTAGCGAGTACTGTACCTACATTTGTATTTATAATATGAGCAAATAGCCTACATTACTGTTTTACCTGACGGATATCACGCCATAATTTATCAACATTTTACAAATTTGAAATCGAAAATGCAAGCGTGAAACATGACATTGATTTCCAAACAAAATTTACGAGGGCTGGTAAATTATGGTGAGTGCTGGTAAGAAATTGCTGTTACCAGCCCTCTGGGCCGGTGAAAATTCCGTTCCCTGTATATTATATTATAGTATTCACACGTGGAATTATTGTTTTTTCTTAGAGAACAACTGTTAGCCATGGCAGAAGAGAGTCGGTCGCAAATCTCGGAAAATCTAGCCACCTTTCCATGTGCCTTGGAAGCTGAAGACATTGAGGACTTCTGCTCTCTTGCTCAGTACTATGCTTCGAAAACACCTCAGAGTTTCCGCAGGGTATGTTTTCACGCGTAGAAGCAAGAATACTGAATTATTGAGTCCTTTTTCAAAAAAGATTTTTTTTGCTTTACTTAAAATTATAGTTAACACTGCCTAACTTTATTAATAATTTCTACTATTTATAATTTTTAGCTCATCTGACATAGTCAGATGCAGCTTGTAGAATCGCATGATCGTCCGTCCGTCCGTCCTGCAGCTTGTAGAATCGCATGATCGTCCGTCCGTCCGTCCGTCTGTCCGTCCGTCCGTCCGTCAACAGTTGGGCACAAATCTTAACCGCTCGATGTACGGTCACGATATTCGGCACATCGGGGGTGATCGTCAAAATGAGTTGGGATGTCGAAGCTGGGGGTCAAAGGTCAAAGGTCAAGAGGTGTAAAAGAAGGGAACATTCACTCCTTAACTTAAGGTATAGGGAGGAAATGCAGAATTGCGGCGCAAATCTAAACGGCTCGACCTAGGCTCGTGATAGTCGGTGTATAGCATCATGGTAGGAAAAGCCATCACTGTGCCGAAATTGGAGGTCACAGGTCAAAGGTCAATGGGCACAGGGCAGATTTTAGACATTTTCTGAGGACATGGTCTGACGGAGCGATTGACCTAGCATTTTTATGGCTTTATTGAAAGGA